AATGTCTTAATTCTATAGCTAGCTGGGGTTTCTGCCGTTGTTTACTGAGCAGAAATTATGGCCGTGTGGAACTGCATAGGTGCTCAAAGACCACATACGCTGTCTCACCAGCCCACACTCCCACAGAAACTAAGGTGGATCCGCTTATAAGAGGACCCAGGACTGACAGAACTCTAAGAGTGTAGGGTCACGTGGAGGACGCGAGCAGGTGTGGAGGAGGAAAGAGAAACTCCAAATTAGGCCTGGTGGCTTGCGCTTGGGAGTGTGGGCGTGGCCTAATCCTAGGAGCTAGGTTTTCGATTGTTCTTGGTTTTGATACCCTTGCATAAACTCGTGTATAGTGCACACAAAAATAACTGCTTTATATACTCCAACTTACTGCGTGCAGTGGGTCTGATTCTGTGTTTCTAATTTAACTATGGGATAGAGAGCCTGTTTGTTTAAAATGTTGAAAACATATAAAGATATGCCAGGACGACTCTTATAACGTCTTACTGACCTCAGCAGCCCCCTGCCACAAACACTTTTTATTGGTCTATCTGAGGAGCTGGTGATGACCCAGGGCCTGGTCCAGGCTGAGCATGTGGTTTATTTTTTGCTTTATTTTGGTTTTGTTGTTGTTGTTTGTGGGATTTTTTTTTTTTTGAGACAGGGTCTTAGTCTGTTATTCTGTCCTTCCTGCAGCTTGCTATGTAGATCAGGCTGGTCTTGAACTCACAGAGATCTGACCGCTTCTGCCTCCTGAATGCTGAGGATTAAAAGCGTGCCCCACTACACATGGCTAAGCCTGTGCTCCCAGCTCTGAGTTTAGCTCCTAGTTCTTTGGTGGCTGCTAAAAGTCTTCTTTACATCAGGCTGTCCTTGAGACTGTGGCAACCTCCTCAAATCCTGCCCCTGCTGGGTGCTGAGATTAAGTTGCGCTCTGACAAACCCAGTTTCCGAGTAATCTTCGTGCAAGCTGATACAAGTGCATTTGGCTTTCTCCTCTCTTGTTTCTAACTGCAGATAGCAAGTTTCGCTTTTTCTCCAGGTAAGACTGTATCTTGGACATTTATCCATCAGAATGCAGTGATTCAAAGATAAGATACCACACAGAGGCTCCAGCTTGAAGCACTTCATTCTCTGGCTAATCTATTTGTCTAGCAAGCCCTTTGTTATGGCTATTTTAATAGTTTCCAGGCTTACTGAAAATGACAAAGTTTGTCGCAACTCAGTGGGCGAGACCTTGTCACATGCAGAAAATAACTAAATGAGTAACTAGAAACACCGAGCAACCTTCCCGATAGACATGTCTTTCACCCAGACAGGCAACCCTGCAGGATACTTTTCCTGAAAAAAAGGGGCAGTTGCTACATCACAGGATGCAGTCATCCTTCCTGTAAAAATCTTCACTAAAGTCCCTCCATACAATTAAAAGTCAAGGGCTGGAAAGAAGACTCAATGGCTAAGAACACTGCCTGCTCTTCCAAAAGACCCAGGATTGGTTCTCAGCACCCACTCAGAGACTGACAACTGTCTGTCACTCCAGTCCTGGGGGATCCAACACTTTCTCTAGCCTCCTGGGGCATCAGGCATGCGCATGGTGCACAGACATACATGTAGGCAAAACACCCCATCAATAACAATAATAATAAATTTTAAAATTTAAAATCGATTTACATTCCCAGGAGCAATGTATGAAGGGTCTGTTTCTTTCCCAAACTTCACCAACAGTGCTAGCAAATGGGAAACAGGGGACATTTTCTTTATTTTTTTTATTATTTATTTTATTTATGTATGAATTTCAGTTTCTTTCCACGTCTCAGAACCATCTGAACATTTATGCCACGTAGTAAAGAATAATGGTGCTACTCCCTGGGCCTGGTGGTCCACACCCTTTATCCAAGCACTTGAGAGGCGGAGGCAGGAAGGCTAATAAATAGTCCAAGGTAATCCTTGGTTTCAGATCAAGTCTGAGGCCAGCCCGGACTTCATTTCAAAAGACAAACCAAACCAAAAAAAAAGGTCGTCAACAGTGTCACAAAGAGAAGTTATCTGATAAGAAGGAAGCTGACTTTAAAGCCGTCCTGGCAAGTCGTTTCCCTCTTATTTCATAAGTGCGCTAAAAATACCAGACTGCCACAATGGCCAAACGGCGCAGGGAGAAACGGCACATCGCCAACCAAACACCCAATTGGCCGGTCTTGCCTTCTAGGGATCTGCTATGACCTGGAGTGAACAGGCTGGGGAGGAAAGGGGGGACATTTTTCTATACATGCGTGTATTTAGGTGGAGCTGGGAATCCAGTCCAGGGCCTTGAAGATGTGAGGCCCGCACTGGGCTCCACCCGCTTTCAGAACTCTCCTGGATCTTACAATCCTGATTTGTTAGAAGGCAAAGAGTACTGGGGTGAAGAAAAGACAGGAATGATGCTTGTGGTTGTCCCCTGCTGCCTTCAGGCAGTCGGACTATAGCTGTGGTTGCCCTGGGAGACCCACGGGCCAGCGATGGCGAGTGAACCACACAATTGAAATGGGTGCACTAAAACTGCATAGCCTCCAAGATGGGTCAGCGGGTAAAACCGCTTGCTGCCAGGCCTGACAGCCAGAGTTTGATCCCTGGGAACCACACGGCATCAGCCGAAAACTGACTCCAACAAATCGTCCTGTGACGGCTACTTGTACGCCAAGGATCTCATGCGTGCACACACATCCATGTGCACACATAGACCGGTTATAGGAGTCCAAGGGTAGCAAGAGGCAGTTTTAAATCTTCAGCTACTCTTCCAGGTATTATTAGGACAGGTTTTGCTAAGATGATGTTTGAAGAAAGAGTCGAGAATTTTTGTAGATGTCTAGACAGCTGTGGCCGTGACGTGCAGAGGTGTGCTGTGCGTGTATCTACAGTGTGGGAAGAACTGCAGAGACTGCTCGGCAGCTGACTGGCCTTGCATCACAAGGTTCAGGCTAGAGCAACAACAAAACAGAAGGGAGCCGGACTCAGGAGCAGCCGATTTTTATGCCAGCTACTTGGGTGACTAGGGTCAGGAGGGTGGAGACGGCAGCATGGGCTACAGTGGGATGCCCAGGTCATGAAGGAAAGGAGAAGGAGATGGGGTTGGATGTGGTCGCTCAGGCCTCTAATCTCACTACTCGGGAAGCTAAGACAGGAGGATTGCCACGAGTATGAAGCTAAGTCTGGGCTACATAGCAAGACCCTGCCTTACAAAAAATGAAACAAAAAAAGAAAAAAAAAACAGAAATCAAGACAGACATAGAAAGGAAAGGCAGTGTGATTAGAGAAGACACAGAGACGTGGAGAGAAGAGAGGAGTAGAGAAGAGGGAAGGGGAAGAGAGAGGAAGATCCGTCGAGATAACTGGTAAATACAGAAGTAGAGGGGTTTTTGTTTGTTTAGAAAAGGTCTCTCTTTGTAGCCCTGGCTGTCCTGGAACTCACTATGTACACACCAGGCTGGCCTCAGAGATCTGCCTGTGGAGGTTTTTGGATTTTTTTTTTAACTTTATTTTTCTTCTTCTTGCTTTTCTTAGTACTGGGGACTAAGGCCAGGGTTTTGTGCATTGCTAGACAAACAGTCTACACTCTGATTTATTTCCAGTGCCCACAGGCTACATGATGTCTAGCTCTTACCTGCACCACCCCTATGTCAAAGGCACAGTGTCCCCACGGCTATAAAGGTAGAATACAGTTACCCAAATCTGCAGGCACACTTGGACAATCTTAGGTTTGTTTTGGCTTGTAGTTCCTAGCCATAGGGGGGTCCGCCTTGTGACTCTGTGTCCCGTAACTTGTCACTCCTTAAGGCTTTCCTTCTTAGTTTGTTATCCTCTTCCTTGGAGCGTCTCTGATTTCAGCATCTCGCCTTATTTTGGCTGATTTACCCACTCTGATCTTCTCCCGTTTGAGGGTCACATTAGGGGAACATCAATCATAACTACATCAGACATAAAGATGGCAGCCTTGTCTCTTATAGCCTGGCCAATCTCACGTTAGCTAGGAAGGAACTTCAGATCGAGGAAAAACATAGCTAGGATTTTCCCAGAAAGGCCAGCAGCTCATTTATATACACATCAAAGGGAGGGCGTATCTTCAGAAATGAGAGGAAGGAGACGGGTACCTGGGACGGACGTGGGCCATGAGTACCACACCAAGGTTTTTTTTTTCAGGGACACAGGACCCGTTATTAAAGTTCCTCCAAAGGCAAAGCTACCACTGTCGCTAAACACATAGCCATTAAAGAGGACCAAGCTGTTGTCCCTACTGTGGATAAAGTGGCCCTCGGGAAAGATGAAGACAAAATAGAAAACGTTACGTAGTAATGCAATTGTCACAGGTTTTTTTTTTTTTTGACAACTTCAGGCCTCTGACTTTGGAGGCTCCAGGTCCAAGAGAGTCTGAGGATCTGACAGTAACTCTGTGTTGCTGTTGGCACAGGGTAACCAGGGCATGAATTCTGTTTCTGACCAGGATGTTGGATTCTGTTTCTGTCCTCTGGTAGCTTTCATACCAAGGCTCTCTGTGAGTTCAAGGCCAGCCAGGGCTACCTAGTGAGATCAGTCAGGCTCAGAGAGTGGAGGAGGGAGGAGAGGGACCAGGAGTTTTTGGAAAGTGAAGGAGTAAGAGGTGAGCAGCTTGGCACATGCCTTGGTCTACTTATAATAAACCGTGTTGATTCAGAACTATCCTTCCTTCGATGTCACGGATGACAGCTCTTCCCCAGATTTTATCCCATACCCCAGGTACCTTCTGATGGTCCTCGGGATGCGACTGCTCAGTGCAATGTTCCTCATAAAGGCAGAGCCCAGCTCGCGCTCCCTGTCTCTCTATACAGGCCGGGGGAGGTGGGAGGAGGTGTCAGAGACCATCTGTCATTGTCACACCTTGCCCCTACCTCAAGAAGACGCCGCTGTACCTGGCCTGGACACCTTCCCTCCCTCTCAGCCGCGCCGCGCCGTCTTATGGACTCGGTCCCCTGGTCCCTGACGCCCCACTTGCCCCTCACCTGATGTAGGGAAGAAAGGGACTGACGTGTCCTAAGAGCACCGCGACCACGTAGGAGATGATAAAGGCTGCGGACGACCATGTCACCAGGAAGAAGGGGACAAAGGCCATTCCCCTGAAGAAGCACAGCATCGCGGTGAGAGGGCGCTGCGCTCGTCGGGCCACGAAGCCGGCTTGTTGCGGGCTGCCTGGAGGAGGTGGCCACGACACACAGACAGCTAACCTGCGGCGGGTTGGAGGCTCCGGAACAGCCGGGGCAGGCCCAGCCCCGAAGGGAGGGAAGCGCTCAGGGGCGAGAGGGCGGAGGGCGGACCGGCAGCCGGGTGGGTGGGGCGCGGGCGGTGGAGGTTTGTTGCGAAACCCGTGAAGTCACAAAGCGGCCGCATGGTCCCCTCGGAGCTGGGGCGCGCGGCCACCTCCCCGCCCACGCCGGGTCACGCCGGACCGCTCGGCTTCCTTTCGCTTTTGCTTGGGACCGCGTCGGGTGGGTGCAGCTGGAGACGCGGGACCCCGCGGGGCTGGTCCTCTCTTGCGCAAGTCGGCGGGCTGGGCTGGATTCCCAGCTCCTCCTTCCTTCCCTTGGGGTTTCCCTCCGAGCCTCTCTCCAGCACCCACTGGCCTTCCTTCCAGGGTCTGGCCCCCAATGCCCACCCCATCAGGGCGCGCTATGGCTGCAGGGGTTCAGGCAGAGGGATTCAGTGACGCTGGCTAGGTCACTGGGCATGGTTGTGACACATGGCTGGGTGATTTGCACCCAGAAACCCAAATCGCATTGTAGCCAGGCTTGATAGTACGGGTCTGTCATCCCTGGCGGTGGCTACTACGGAGGCTAAGGCAGGAGGATCGCAAGTTCAAGGCCTGAGTGGGCAGCTTATTGAGACAGTCTCTAAAGGGGCGGGGATGTAGCTCAGTTGTAGAGTGTAGACAGGGCTTCATCTCTAAACATTGTAAAAGACCTCATGGCAAAGACCTTCATTCAATCAAGTAAGGGAGGATTGGATCCAGCCCTGGCCCAGCCTGGGTTGCCCAGGTTGCTGCCCACAATTCTGTTCCCACCAAAACTACTTGGAGTATTTATTTCCTCGCAATAAGACAAGAAGACTTGATTTACTTGAGATCCACTTCAGACTCCACCAAAACTGACCCGACAGGTGTTCCTGAAGCACAGGCCTGTTCTGTGCAGCTGAGTTAAAGTTTGGGGATTCTGAGCCCACTTTTGGCCACAGACGACCTAATATGGGTTCACCTCAGCCAGATAAACTTGTCGAGTGCTACACTGTGCTAGGGAGCAGCCTATGGGGTTCAAACAACACCATTGGAACTAAAAGACTGATCTACCGGGCAGCAAAGCTATGTAGGACAGGATTTAAAACATGAAAAAAAAAAAAAAAAGATCAGAACTGGGGACCCAGAGCTCAGATGAAGGACCAGAGAGGTTTTGAGAGGATAACAGTTTTCAAGACGTCTGGGGACGAACACATGACCTCCTGGTAGCACCGTCCCATAGCTCCAACTCCCAAAGGAAATAGTTAGCCAGACAAAAGCAAGATTACCTTGCCAGGCCAAGAAAATAGCAAAGACTGCACCGGCTGAAAATGCCTGCTTCTTCAAGACGAAGACATTTAAATACCTGTGAGTCAAAGGACCGCTTGGTTTTAGCCAGATGTGGAGCTCACAGCGGTAATCCCAACACTTGGAAGGGTAAGACAGGACAGCCAAGAGTTCAAAGCCAGTCTGAGCTACACAGAGAGTTCTAGGCACACCTGGGCGACAGAGAACCTGCCTCTCAGGTAACTATAGGCCAACCGCGAGACATTTAAGACTCTTCGGCCAGAAACTCCCTGTACCTTCTAGAGCAGCGATCCCTGGTCACTCCAGCTTATAGAAACCTGGACCTGGGAGACAGCTCAATGGATAAAGGTGCTTGCAGCCAAGCCTGGTGGCCGGGGTTCCATCCCATGGAGCCACATAATTGAAGGAAAGGACCCACAGCCTCAAGCTGTCTTCCACACACGCTTCCCCCCCCCCCCAACTGTCATTCATGGTTTCTCTCCCGCCAACCAGTTCCCAAATAATCACTCAGAGGCTTAATATTAATTGCAAACAGTTTAGCCTATTAGCTCAGGCCTATTATTAACTAGCACTTACAACTTACATTAACCCATATCTATTATTTTATATTTTACCACAAGACTCGTGGCTTGTTACCTCATATCCGGCGGCTGCTGGCATCTCCCTGGCTCCACCTTCTTTTTCCTTTTATCGTTGCTTAGATTTTCCACCTGGCTTTGGGCCAAATCAGTTCTTTTATTAACCAATGGTGATAGGACATACTCACAGCATACAGAGGGGCATCCCACATCAATTCACTGTGCATCTTGCCTGGTTTCCTGGGCTTTGGAAAACAGCTCTCATTCAGTCTTCTCCCCCACCCCACCCCCATCCCCCACCTCTTTTCTACTGTTAGATTTAGATCAAAATGCAGCTCCCCCTTGGTCAGAGGACTAATGGTCCCCAAAGAAGTCTCACCTGGTTATTTATGTTTTGTTGATTGTGAAAGACCCAGATAAATCCAGACCCCTCTAGCAGGAAGAGAAGAGCCAAAAATCTAGCAGGAAGAGAAAAGCCAAAAATCTAGGTTAGCTGGTTCAGTGACTCTGTTCCAGGAACTAGCTGATCATAAAGTTAGATTATAATCTTGAGAATAATCTTGAGAAACAGGAGTTACCCCCTTGTGATTATCACTGGTATTTTCAGAATTTTCCAATGACAGCCCTCCCTACCCCCTTTGGGTTGTGGTTTCTTCACCTAAATACTCCTTCTCCCAGCTACTCGGGGTTGAACTCCTTTACCGCTGTGTGGGATATGAGTCGGCCCCAGTGCGCTGGTTCCTGTCAATAAACCTCGTGTGATTGCAACAAGGACGGTCTCTCATGAGTTCTTGGGGGGTCGTGTTATCCGAGAATTGAGTGAGAGTCTCCCCACTCCGGGGGTCTTTCAATTGTATAATTCGCTACAAAATCCAATTTAACAGTTACTATTTTTGTCATTTAAGGGTCTCTCTCTCTCTCTCTCTCTCTCTCTCTCTCTGTGTGCGTGTGTGTGTGTGTGTGTAACCTAGGCTAGCCTCAAACTCATCTTGAAATCCTCCAGCTTCAGCCTCATGGATGCCGAGATTACAGTATGCACCACACGGGCTTGCTAGCCATTTAAAATATTGAACATAATAAATCATCTGACCATAGTGGCAGCGGTGCGTTTGCTGGCGCTGTTGTTTTCAGGGATTCACGTGAAGTTTATTACAAGCTGAAAGTGTGCATTCAAGGGCAAATGCAGACTAAAGGGTCACTCCTTTTGTTAGTTACAATGGATACATTTGCATCTGTACCTCTTAAATAAGATTGCTTTGCAGAAAGCCAGCATAATGATCCATTTTTATTGCCAACTTAATACTATTAGGAAATACCTAGGGCACTGACAGAAGACATCATGGGTTTATCTATGAAGATATTTCCAAAATGGTTTAACTGAGAATGGAAAAACTGGCCCTAAATATAAGTGGCACCATCCCATGGGCCCAGAACAAATAAAAAGGAACAAGGAAAAACCGAACACACTCACCCATCCTCAGAGCTACAGATCAAGCAGGTCTGTCGCCATGACTTGCTCACTGTGGTGGATGAGGGCCTCCCAACTGTGAGCCAACATAAGCCCTTCCTCTGCTAAGCAGCTTTGTCTTAGGTAATAAGTCATAGCACTAAGGAAAGCAAAGCATATGACCAATGTATGAGAAGTGGTCACCAAAGGTTGATGTTACCGAGAGACAGGAGAAAGAGGCAAGCAAATCCAAGTTGACGTCCAATGCAATTTTTTAAGGCTTGCCAACAAAAGCATGTCTTGGGTTGGAGGGAGAAAGAAGGACCAGTCACCATAGTGTGAGAGGGAAGGGTTGATAAACTGTTAATCAAAAGCCCACAGCCAGTAGTAAGACAACTGGATTTTCTCTTTCTCTCTCCCTCCTCTCTTTACATCCACTTCTTTATATTGCGTGTGCATACGTGTGCATGAGAGTGTATGCTCATGCCATGGTGCGTGTGTGAAGGTCAGAGAACAATTTATAAGACTAGGGTCTCCAGGAATACCACTTTTGGGTATATATCTAAAGGATGCTCAATTGTGCCACAAGGACATGTGCTCAACTGTGTTCATAGCAGCTTTGTCTGTCATAGCTGGAACCTGGAAACAACCTAAATAACCCTCGACCGAAGAATGGATAAGGAAAATGTGGTATATTTATACAATGGAGTACTACACAGCAGAAAAAAAATAACGAAAGCTTGAATTTTGCAGGAAAATGATTGGAGCTGGAAAACATCATTTTGAGTGAGGTAACCCAGACACAGAAAGACAGTCATCACATGTACTCACCCATAGGTAGTTTTTAAACATAAAGCAAAGAAAACCAGCCTACAAATCACAATACCAGAGAATTTAGACAACAATGAGGACACTAAGAGAGACTCACATAGATTTAATCTACATGGGAAGTAGAAAGTAGAAAAAGATAAGCTCTCCTGAGTAAACTGGTAGCAAGGGGACCTTGAGGGAGGATTGAAGGGGGAGTGGAGAGGCAGGGAGGGGAGCAGAGAAAAATGTAGAGCTCAATAAATATCAATAAAAAAAATAAAAAAAAAGAGTAGGGTCTCTCCTACCATGTGGGTATTTGGGTTCTGGCAAATCATACTAGGTCATCAGGCTTGGCAACAACTCCTTTAGCCACTGAGCCATCTTATTGGCCCCCACCCTAGGCTTTTTCAGAATCTCTTCTCGTGTCAAATATTAGCTAGGGGACACAGGTCTGCCTCAGAAGGCTTAATTGGCTTTGGTGAAGACTTTGCTCGTCTTGTAGAATTTGGAATATGCTGGTCAGTCATTTGTCATCTGAGAAGAGAGAGGTTCGGTTGAGAAAACGTCCCCTCTAGGCTTGTAGGCTAGTCAGTGGGGTATTTTCTTGATGAGTGGTTGATACAGGAGGGTCCAGCCCAAAGGGGATCATGCCACCCCCACATGGTTCTGGGTGGTATAAAAAGAAATTTGAGCAAGCCACATAGAGAGAGCCGGTATGCAGTGTTCCTTCATGGTCTCTGTTTCAACTCCTGCCTTGAGTTTCCGCCATGACTTCCCCCTCCTGGATTAAGCGCTTCCCACTTTGGCTTTGGTCAGGATTTTATCACAACAAGGGAACCCAAATGAAACAGAATGCAAACCAGGGCCACCTGGCAGGCTAGATAGCACTTAGGTCCCCATGGCAGGAGTCATGGCAAGCTGGATTCCTACATAGGTATGTAATTGTACCTAACCGTGTGTG